CGGTTCTTCGTGAGTGGGAACTCGGGCCTGAAGCACCGAGGTGCTGACCTTGCGGGCGAGGTTCCTGACCCGCCTGCGAGCTGCGAGGCGGGGGTGATCTCTCTCTCTCTTCGGCTTGGGGACGAGGCCTGGCTGTTAGGGGGTTCTGGGGCCGGGAGGCTTTTCCCTGGTGGGGGCGTCCATCCTGTGGGGAGGCCTTAACCGGCTTCGTAGTAGGGTACCGAGGTGGAAGTAGTGGTTGGTTCAGAGGCAGTTGGGGGAACTGTTGTTGATAGTGATACCGGGAGATGTTGTGCAGTACTTGGTGCTGCTGGAGCTGGTGTTGCTGGAATTGTTGCATTTGGGCTTGCATTGCCCGCATGCATTGCATCAGGTCGTCCAACTGGTTCTGGCTGGTTGCCAGGGGGACGGCAGTTGGTTTAGTAAAGGTTGTCTCGATAGGGAGAGGAAAGGGGATGCTCATGGCAGGAAGGTTTACGGGCGCCACTGCATGTGGCGCATTCAAGCTGGGGATCTCATCCACCGAAAGGGGGATGGTGAACTATCCGACGCACACCACGGGGACTTGAAGTTGTTCCCCGGTGGTGTTTGTCTCCGTGCCACGTCCGGCGTTGTTGGAAGAAGCCATGAGTGTTGGGGTTTTTGGAGAAAAGAGGTTATGAGAGTTTAGAGGGAGGCTTTTAGAAGCGATTTCCCACAGACGGCGCCAATTGATGGTGCGCAATTCGGCTGGTCTTAGCTGTCAACGACCTTGCCTCTGAACGGAGCTACAGAGAGCCTGAAACAGAGAAGATGAGGAAGCTCTGGGGGGAACCCGGTATGATTGCTCCGAAGCTCAAGTTAGAATTCTTTCTTAGGCAAGATAAAACCAGATGGCGCAAAGTTCACATACCTTGTTCTTGGGGGTAGGGGGCCTTTTATAACCACCTCGTGCACTCACTCCTAAGCTTCTGTCAGGTCGGGTATGATTACTTCTGGGCTTCTGCCAGTTCGGGTGTCATCCCCTCTGCTGGATAGAACTGCCACTGCTCCCTTTTGTCGGAGCCGTCTCTGCGGCTGGCGATGACGGTGGCAGGTGGCGGTGGTAGGTGACCGTTGAAGTGCGGCTGTCAAGCGTCAGATCCCAAGTTAGTCAGGTGCGCCGCCCTTGGATACGGACCACCTCGGTGTCAGGTATGGTACGTTTGTTCAATTTGGCGTCCCGGAGGCGAAGTGCTGGAGTGGCRAGCGAGGTGAAGTCTTGAGTTCGGATAGAGGAGTGTCCCGAACTGCCATGAGGCGGGCCAGTTCGGGTCATTGCCTTGTGTGGCTCGGGGCCTAAGGGAGAGTTCGGGCTCCTCGTAGGGATTGCTGGTGGGGAGTTCGGGCTCCTTGTAGGGAGTTCAGACTGCTGGTTTTCCTCCCTTTGGTGCTCGCACCCTGGGCGCGCTGTTGTGCCAAGCTGTTTGCCTTTGCCACGTGTTGAGTGATTACGAGGTCGGGCCAAATCTTCTTTCATCAATTACCTTTTTTCCAAAAAAAAAAAAAAAAGTGGGAGAGCACAAGTGCACAACTAAGGTGACAAGCAAATGGGAAAACAAAAGTGGAACTCCTGTGTATTGTTCTTTTCATGGTTATCAAGAAAGAAAAAGGGGATAAAAGAATGAAAAGAAATATGAATATCAAAATAAACAGAAGTCAGCCTGATTCCTCTCAATCATTTATAGAAGCAGTTGCCCAAAGGTAAATGTTGTGTTGAGGATAAAGATGTATGTGGAACCGAAATTTTTGTTGTTTCTGAGAGGAAAGATTTTCTGAAGTGTTCTCTAGTTGGAAGGTTTTGCTAGGAAGCGAAAGGTGTTCAGGACATGTAGAAATTAAAATTTTTTATTTTTTTTCAATTGGTAACATCGTAACTTTTTATTAATTGAATTTGAATAAAAGATTAATTTATATACATATATTGCAACACATTCTTCAATTTAGGATGGCATCTTGCCGCCTAACTCATTTTTGTGATCATTACATTATATTTAATCCCTTGTCTGTTGCTTGGCCAATTTATCAGCCAAACCATTTGCTGATCTATACACTCAATTTGGAAGTCATTTGTAGTTTCCCAGCCAAACAATTAATTCTTTCATGATGTCTCAATATTGCCACAGCCTTTGTCAATTTGTTTAGTATTCTATTATCAAACCCACCAGCCACCACTACCTTTGGGTCCCCTTCCACTATTAAATTCTTAAAGCTTAGTGATATTCCCACTCTCAAACCGTATAACACCACTAGTAGCCTAGCATGTCTGGACTACTCTATAGATCCCTCCACCTGATTGTCCTGGGTTTCCCACAATACAGAGCTATCAAAGTTTAGCTTAATTTGGTTTGTTCTTTGTAGCCTCTAATGTAATTCATCCATAGAAAATGAATTAAAATTTTTCATCATTTTAAATGAATGTCTTTTCCTTGAAAATACCTCCATATAATCCTTCCTCTCTTGGCAATGTCAAAAAGAACGGTTGGAACAAGCTTTCCATGTCTAAAGGGTGAATTCACCTGCAACCAAAGAGAGAAGATAACCACTCCCAAATTCTTAGACACAAGTGTGCGGTGTGCCGGAGATTAATTAGTGACAGATAAATTCTCCACTTGAACATGACACAATTGTTTATGGTTTTGTTACTGTGAATAGAGAGAGCATAAAGACTCAGGAATTTGTGCATCAATGGTAAATCCCCCCACTCTAGATCCTCCCAAAAGTTGATTCTGTCCCCTAAAGTAACATCATACGTAATGAGAGGAAGAAAGGATGATAAGAGAATAGTGACAGTCTCCCATGTGGAGGCTAAGGTAGCTCTACCAGATAAAGCAACATCCCACCCATTGACTGCCACTCCATGACCATACCACGATTGCTTCTTCTCGCAGCATGCCCCAGTTTGTTAGACTCTAGAAGGAACCTCTATAACCACTTCCCCAATAGTGAGGAGTTCCTAGTTACCACTTTGCTCACACCCAATCCACTTTCCTCATTTTGGAAACTGCATTCTAATGGATTAACAGCAGCCATAACTGAGAGCAATTTACATTGATCCACAGGTATGTTATTTTAGGGGTTATGTGTAATTGAATTCATGTTTATAGTGGGTTAGGTAGTTGGTTAGTCTAAGCTAAAAGAGGGGTGCTAAGCACATACTGTACTTAATCCGTTATCTTTCGTAACCAATAAAATTTACTCTTACTAATAAAAAATATTATGCTCATGATAATAAACATTGGTGTTGAGCTTGCATTTTTTCTCATTGTTTTGAGGTCTTAACTAGAGAACTTTAACATCCCCCCCCCTAAAATTTCCGTAGGACTTCAACTTGGATACATTTCCAATATAGCTGATGCCAAATAGTTGGGAATTGGAATTAAGACTGAGTTGAGTTGAGGGCACACCTCCAGTGGGAAAATTTTATTGGGTTCTTTTTGTTTCCTAAAAAAATTTCCTTTTTTTTGTAAAAATGGGAATATAACCAAATTACTACTCATTGATAATTCTTTTATTAACTTCGTGGAGTTTGTGAAGCTAGCATGTCAAAGAGAAATTGTTGATTGTTTACAATAAGCAGGGAATACTAAATGATGAAATACTTGGTTGATTCCACTTTTTTTTCAGTTATGGTGGATTTCCTTTTTTTTTTTTGATAAAGCTTTTCTGATTGTCCTAACCTGCTTTCCCATTTGTAGGTATCCATACATGGCTGTGGTTCTCAATTTCAGTCAATCATGGGCATTGTACTGTTTAGTTCAATTCTATACTGTTACAAAAGATGAACTGGAGCACATAAAGCCATTGGCCAAGTTTCTAACATTTAAATCAATTGTCTTTCTGACCTGGTGGCAAGGTGTGGGAATTGCACTCATCTATACACTTGGTATATTCAAAAGTTCTTCAACTCTAGGGTTGCCATCCAAATCAAGCGTTCAGGATTTCATCATTTGTATAGAGGTATTCATTTTACTTGTTTCTCTTCATTTGTATCCATGTTAGACTTAAGGATTGTGTATTGTCATGTTTCTTGTATGATAGAGACAACTTTAAGTGCAAAACTGCATATTGTCCTTTTTTGGAATATTTGCCATCTATTCATGCTAGTTCTTTCCCTTTTAATCTTTGAAAGCTATTGTTTTTCATGTGAATCTATTGAGTTGCGACCTATGTGACAGTTTCCTTTTTTTGATAAGTAACAAAAAAATTTTAATAAAATATAATATGCCATTTCCCATGTCCATGTTGAACATGTGAATTTTAGTTTTTCATATCAACCCCTTGCCCATTTTGTGATTGAGAAATCTGGTATTTGTAATTACTCCTTTTGATTTATGACATGCCACCACATTTCCTGGTTTTCTCATCCACCCTTTGTGCATGAGAGTCTAATGTGTTTATCTGATTTGCTTGAGCTTTTAGCTGGACAATTTTGTCCTTGTATGTATTGTGGCCCTTGCTTCATCCTATTAACAATTGTTGACACATACTTGTTAGGAATTGGGGTTGAGAGAGTTAATGTAATTCCATAATTATTAATCATTGACAGCTTATCTTAATAAAGATCCTAACAATAGATTGTCTTATCTTACATAGAGACATCAAAAATTTATATGCCTTACATGACATGCAGGAGGAATTATTTGATCATCTGCTTATTCACTTGTTTTCTTAATAGATTTGTTGACACCATGAGGTTGTTTGGTTGGATATGGATTATTCCTGGTTTCTTCCTCCCTCGTTATCACATGAGCAGTAAGAAGCTTTAGCAAGAAAGGCATGATTTTATGGAATCTTGCCCCATTTTCTTTTTCACTGGTGCATTTGGGAAAAAAGGAAGAAGAGGATATTTGACCAAAACCGATGCCTGGTCATGGTATGACTAAATTTTATACCATGACATGCCATGTAGATTAGTCGTCATCAAACACTTTTTAGTGATGATTGAACCCTTCCCTGTAACTGGATGTCAAGCAAGGCCATTTAGTTTTAGTGGAGAGTGGAAACACACTATAACTAGCAGGATATTGATTGATGTTCCTCTTTAACCAATTCTTCTTTGTAACAAGATATTGAAGTCTAAGAAGTATATATGTTCTTCCAGCACAGATGGGCATTGCTTCCATTGTTCACCTCTATGTATTTCCTGCGAAACCATACGAGTTAATGGGAGACCGCTTTCCTGGAAGTGTTTCTGTTCTTGGAGACTATGCATCTGTGGAGCCTTTAGATCCTGATGAGGTTAGAGACAGTGAGCGCCCCACCAAGTTACGATTGCCCCAGCCTGACATTGATGTCAAAGGTGGAATGACTATCAGCGAAAGTGTTCGGGATGTTGTCATTGGTGGTGGCGAATATGTAAGTCTTCTCTACTTCCTATGTTGAACCTGACAAAGTTACCCCATCAATTTAAAGTGACAATTGCATGGACTGTAACAACTGCTCAAATGATGGAGATGCAGTTGTCCATGTGAATCTGATAAGGAGCCATGTAACAGTTGGTCAGGATAGGAAGGTCTATACAAATGCATATTGAGATATGCATTCTTACGATAGCAATGAAATAAACCATCAAAATGTCACATAATAAATTGTCATAAAAGTTTTGAAGGCATCATTACTATCTGTGTATCTCATTGTGTCTGATACCTCTGCAGGTTGCCCATGATGTGGTATGAACAGTGATTTCAATAACTACTTGTTAAATTTCCAAGAATTAGGGTTAAGGTTAAAATAAAGTGAAAATTATGGTCTACCTCACCTCACAAATCTTTTTTTTTATTTTACTTTGAAAAACCCCCTGTATTGTGTCAGATTCCCCGACCTGTCACCATTACAAACAATGACAAATTTGGGAGGTGAGGGAATCAATAATTTGCCCTAAAATAAACCATTGCAACAGTGCATAATAAAGATATTGAAAAATATTACAAGACATAACTATAGATATAGCTACTGGCAAAAAATAACTGAGCTTAAGTTTTCATGAGGAATATTATAGGGTTGAAGTAGAACAGTAGATCTTTAATGTAATTTGACATTAAGAAAAGAAGAGATTAACCTAGGGTTCTACAGAGAAAGTTATAAGGCCTTCACACGAATTAAAACTCAGGCATCACTTTCTCCCTCTTCAAAACTCTTCCAGTTTAACATAGTGCTACAGCCCTAACTTGAAATTCCCAGGAGGCAAAAACTTGGTCTGGAAATCTGTTGCTACAGGACCCATAAAGCGTTTGTGAGTGCTAGTACCATTGTGATGGCCGGTGATCTGCTTGAAATTCTTGCTGGTGCTCTGCTTTAAGCCAGTTGCTGGGGAAGTTTATCGTTCTGTTTTCAAGATATTGCTTGTAATTTGTGATGGCCTCCTCTTTCTTTTTACAGTTGATCCACACATGCCCTATTAATCCACAGTTGGCACAGACTCGTAACTGCTAATAGCAGTACCTTAGCCAAACTGGTTGTCCTGAGTAGAGAATGAATCAATCTGAATATAACAGCTGCCTGAGGTCGACCTTAATCTTCTTGCGCACAAACAGTCCATGTTCTAGATGTCCAGAACGGATTTTTTCTTGGTTGGGGAGTACCTGACCTGTGAAGCTTGTTAAAAAATTTATCCTTGAATCTTCAACCATTCCCTGAGGTACCATGTGAATCTGTAACCAAACCTTAAAGTGAGTACTAGCAATGTAGACTGCTGGTTAGTTCTGCCTTTCATTTTTGTATCCTACATTTAGTAGTAGGAATTCTTGCACTATGATGCACCAGTCAACTTAATTTTCATTAAACTAAGGCTGTGATTTTAAGGAAAAAGTAGGGAAAGGAAGGGAAACGTAGGAAAACCTATATGAGGCTTGTAAAGATTTCCCTACATTTCCCTTCCTTTCCCTACTTTTTCCTTCAAACCAAACATAGCCTAAATGCTTGAAGACAAATGGCCTACCCTTTTTTTGAGAAATAAAAAAGGGTTCCATACCTATCAGTTTTCTCTTCTGGTGTGTAGTTGCACTTAGTAATGCACCTCACTGTTGCTAGAATTCCTCTTGTTATGGTTATCAGCTTAACATGAAAGTGGATTTGGCTTTTGTACAGATTGTGAATGATGTGAGGTTCACGGTGAACCAAGCAGTGGAGCCTGTGGAGAGGGGGATCACACGGTTTAATGAGAAACTGCACAAGATCTCCCAAAACATAAAGAGGCATGACAAGGAAAGAAGGAGAACCAAGGATGACAGTTGCATTACATCATCACCAGCACGAAGAGTAATCCGTGGAATAGATGACCCTCTCTTGAATGGGAGTTTCAGTGATAGTGGGGTGTCAAGGTCAAAGAGGCACCGTAGAAAATCAGGATATACGAGTGCTGAAAGTGGGGGAGAAAGTAGCAGTGACCAAACCTATGGTGGGTATCAAATTCGGGGGCACAGATGGGTCACAAAAGATTAACTAGAGATGTTGATACTAAAACATTAGACATGGATGAAGCGAGATGAGGCATTACCTGGGAATTGGGCATTCATTAGGCTTTCAGGTACTGGGGTGCACAGGATCTAAATGTGAAAATGGTCTTTGGAGTACATGTTCGTCTGGCCCCATTTTTTGCTAGCTGTTGTAGGCAGTTTACAATGGGGGCTGTGTATTGTACTTATGATTCCTTGTGCTTGTCTATAACTATACCCGTGAGTTCTATGTATATTTAATTTGAGCTCATCAAATGCATTCATTTGTTATCAGACTCCCCTTACCAGCTGTTGTTTTGGGGCTGAATCCTGCAGTCAGGTATTATCTGCTTGAGAAGTTCTTTTAAATTTTAATCATTTGGCTTTCTTGACTTTCTCTCGCTCAAACTAGATGAGCATCATCATACAATTTCACCTTCCTATCTGATTTATGCGATGATCCCTTAACACGGACACAAGTAGTGGATCGATAGAGAGGTTTCCTCTTGAAGGATTCAATCTCAAAACCAAGTCTTGGTATATTCCTCCGCGGCTTTATACATTTAAAAGAAAAAATCCTTGATGCTTCAGTAGCTGGCAACTCGTGCGTCATCCAATCCTCAAGAGAGTCAAGAATGTGCCTGCTTTATGATCACAAAGATCTCTCACATACATGTGAGAGCGACTTGGTTTTACAAGTACTTGATACTTGTCAGAGTGTTTAGTGTATGAAATTTAGGGGAAAATAAAAAAGATACAGGAAATCTGAGATCCACTCTCCTCATTCACACCGTCACACGCATGCACACAGCACACAAACATATTTTATTGGAAGCAGCCAAGCATTCATAATCTTAGAGGGAATGAAAAGGTCAAAGAAACACTAGGACCAAACTCACCAAACCCGTTCACCCTTCCTGACCAAACTTCTAACTGGATGAAAAGGTCGAAAGGTTTTGATTGATGCCTCGTACTCAATGAGAATGATTCATCAGTTATTTTGCCCCCAGACCAGTTGGAGCGTCCATTAGTTTGATGGATTGGACATCTATGCTATATGTTGATGGAGGTGGGGCTAAGCAATTAGCATTTACTGGAGCCCATTAATTCGTGCCACAGTCCACAGAGGAGATTTGGGAGGTACCTTTAAACCCGCCTCCTTAATGCCCAAATCTCTAATGACATCACACACTATTGTTGACTGTTTTCTCCCCCTTTTTTCTTTAAAACCTCCGTTGTGTTTTATCATTTATGTTCGACAATAAAAGGCACTTGGGATCAAGAGTTCCTCCAACTCCAAGTCTCCAACCTTGGTAGAACAGGAACAGGCAACAGAGGAAGGACGCGTTGTCCAGTGTCCACTCCGAATAGATAGTTCCAAGTTTCATTTTACCCCTATAAAATTCGATGCAAGTTGTTGTATATTCCCTCAACTTAAACTGTGAATATGTTCTTCAGAAACATAACAGTGCCGCCATTGTCACTTGGATGGTTTATGAACCTTCAATCAGTTCGTAACCGTTCGACAAAATGCCTCAGAGCACAAACATCAACTCTAGAGTTATTATCATCTCACTGTGGTTCTGTCATCCAAGCCTCCATAGAAAAGGGTTCCCCACAAAAGGCCCTTCTGGACTATAAAACAGTTCTTTGCAGGGTAACCCAACTCGATCAACAAACACTTCTCTCTGTTCTTGAAGCCTGCAAGATATCATTGAATTTCGAAACCGTAAGCTGTATCCACACTAGCGTTATTAAATCCGGGTTCCAATCCTATCCATCCATTGTATCCTCTCTGATAGCAAACTTTGTTGCCTGTGGTCGCATCGATGACACTAATCGACTCCTCGGTGAAATTCCCAGGTGGGGTTTTCATCTCGTATCTGCAAATTTAATTATTGCAGGTTATATGAAGACAGGAGAATTTGATCATGCAAATCGAGTGTTTTCCCAAATGCCATGCAAAGATGTTGTCTCATGGAACTCGATGATTGCGGGTTGTGTTAGAAACGCCCGCCCAAAGGAAGCTATAAATATATTTCAGCAGATGATCAACTCGAACTTCAGTCCAGATGGGTTCGCGTTTGCTTCTGTTCTCACTGCGTGTGCTCGAACTGGAGCTCTTAACCACGGCGAATGGGTGCACAAATTGATGATCGAGAAACAAATCGAGCTCAATTTTATATTGAGCGCAGCACTGATAGATATGTACTCAAAATGTGGAAGGATCCAAACTGCCAAGCAAATTTTCAACAGCATTCGACGGGATGATGTATCTGTGTGGAATGCCATGATCACAGGACTAGCGATTCACGGGCTTGCATCAGATGCAATGGCAATACTCTCCCGAATGGAGCGTGAAGGTCAAACTCCTGATTCTATCACCTTCATTGGAATCTTAACTGCGTGCAGCCACTGCGGCCTGGTCGATCAAGGTCGCGACTACTTCACTTCAATGAAAAGGCATTACCTAATCGAACCACAGCTCGAGCATTATGGAGCAATGGTTGACCTACTAGGTCGAGCTGGGTTATTGGAAGAAGCTCACTCAATGATAATGGAAATGCCGATTCAACCGGATGTCGTAATATGGAGGGCGCTGTTAAGTGCTTGTAGAATTCACGGAAAGGCCGAATTAGGTGAGGCTGCGATCAATCAAATGGCACGCGCCGACAGCGGAGACTATGTCCTGCTCTCGAATATCTACTCTTCTGCAAAAAGATGGAATAGCGCTCAGAGAGTGAGGCAATTGATGAGAAAGAAGGGAGTTAGAAAGAACAGTGGATTGAGTTGGATTGAGGTGGGGGGTGTTGTTCACCAGTTCAAGGTGGGTGATCAAACACACCCTGAATCGCAGGCCATATACAGGGTGTTGGAAAGATTGAGTCGGCGGATTAAACTGGAGGGATTTGTTCCTAGCAGAGAACTAGTTTTGATGGATATTTCTGAGGAGGAAAAGGAAGGAAACCTGAATTGTCATAGCGAAAAGCTGGCGACAGCCTATGGAATCCTAAAGACCAGTCCTAGAACCGAAATTCGAGTCTCAAAAAACCTCAGGACTTGCCTGGACTGCCATGGATGGATGAAAGTTGTTTCAAAGGTATTAAACCGGGTGATTTTGGTGAGGGATCGGCTTCGCTTTCATCGATTCGAAAGCGGTTCGTGTTCTTGTGGAGATTACTGGTAACGACGAGTCCAGAAAGAAGAAAATGAGAGAGATTTTCTACCTGCATGCTGAATCGAATCTTTCACGTTCCAAAGCGGTTCATATTATCCCTGCACGCCATAAAAGTAGTCCGAATTCTGCACGCCATGTGGATTGTGGAATGCAACAGACCAACAGTCGTGCATTTCTTCTGGCATCATCTACTGCTTCTCACGATGTCTACGGTTCGGTCTTCATTCTTAACGGACCAGTGCAGACTACAGTCATCAAATGAACTACAGCCAACCAGTCAAATTTATCGACGTTTTGTTTCCCCGTGATTTCTGATTGGAATTCAACGAATAAATGAGTTTCACTCTTGAATGCAAGTTATAAGCCTCATCTGAGTTAGAAATTCTCCCCGTTGCAACTTCTTCAGTTGGGTCAGAAGTAAATTAAAATATGATAATAGGGTTCATTATCGAGTCTCATGCCATCACATGAAATGAATTCTTTCCATTGGTTTTGCTTGGAATCCGAGCCGATATCAGTTCCGTTGCATAGCATTCTAACCCACAATTCAAAATAGTGTTAGCCAAGAACATATTCATTTTAGACAATTGATTTGTTATAAAAATAGATGAAAACTACAAGGAAACTATTTCATTTCAGGTAAAGGCCGAAAAGTTTGTGAGGAAGACATTCCAAAGCATTATTTTAACTGCATCAAAACAAGGCTTATAGAAGTGGAATTGATTGCTGATGCATGATTGTAGCCTAAAAATAGTCTATAGGATTGATTAATCGCATGATTGTATGAAACCTAAGGCTAGTTTGGAAAGAGTATAAATGCAAATATATACAGTACAAATATATACAAAATAGTATAAAATATAAGGTTTTGCACTCTACATATTTGCATTTGTATTCCTTTCAAACTGAACCTAAGGCTGCGTTTAGAAACGATGCAAATGGAGTGTAAATCCGGGTTCAGGGTAAATTTGCACTCTGGTTCACTTTTGCCTGTATTTGGCAACATTATATTTATGCATTGACAAATAACAGACCAATGCATATTTACATTGATAATAAGATGTGAAAGTACGTCAATAAAAAAGAAGTAAATTTGCATTCAAGTGGACTTTTGATAAAAAAAAAAAATCATATGCTTTATTGGAATTCATGTTTGCATCCATTAAAGCTAAAAGTCTGTTTGGTAAGAAGGTAAATTTGTCAGTGCAAAACTAACCCAATTTTGCAATTTATATGAACCGTTTTACACTCTACATATTTGCATTTATGCTCTACGTATCAACTATCAATCAATACCCGATACCCATATCAGCTGATATATCTTATGGGTGGGTCAGCAATATGTGAAATCCTTACTGTTTTGAGAGAGTCCCGATCTCCTACCCACGAGAATTCTGCTCACGTTTATCGGAGCCACACATGAAGAACATCTCATCCTCTACATAGTATTATGCAGGGGGAGATATTCCTAATTCACGGGGAGTAGTGTTTTGTGGGTAGGCGTGGGCAGAGTTCTTGTGGGTAGATGATCCGAACTTGTTTTGAGATTTATCCTATTTCAGGGGAGTCCGCGTTATGTGGATATGTGGGTTCACAGGATGCGTGAAGCGCCAATCAGAGAAGACCACGTTTGCTTTTCACAAAACCACTGACTTTAACGGGTGTTTAACCGTTAACTGAACAAACTCAGTTCAGCCACCCGCAAAAAGATAAAAACGCAAAAGAAAAAAAAAGTATAAATTGGCGGCAAGAAATCCGAGCCCTAACATTTCGAACTCTCACTTCCCCATCTCTTGTCCTCGTCTCCTCCTAACCCTAACCTGTCCTGACTGCAAGGCGGCAAAAAATCCAGCATTGTGACATGTACGGTGATGAGGGCAGATTTGGCCCTCCAGTGAAGTTGCGACACGTGGCACCTCGTGACAACTAGGCAAGCACGCGAACTGCGCGCGACCTGGCGCGACCTGGCCGGATGAGACTGCCACATGCGCCGACCTGGCAATCTGGCCCGGACGCAGGCGCCGACCTGGCGATCTGGCCCGGACACAGGCGCCGACCTGACAACAAGACCCGGACACAGGCGCCGACCTGCTGACCAGACCCGGACACAGGCGCCGACCTGGCAACCTGGCCGGAC